AAATTCTGCACCACAAGATCGATTGTAATTTTCTCACTAAGGGCTCTAACATAATATAACCTACTTCCCTCCAGGATACTATTTTCGGGGCTCCATAACAAATACTTACAACCAACAAAACTTTTGCTAACTGAGCTGTCATAACGGATATCCTGGCCATGATGGCTTATTCTGTTTTCAGTGTTTTCAGACATGTAATCAATAATACAGCTATTTAAATTTAATGATAAGGTGAAGCATAACTATTTTAATGTAATTTTACTTAAAAAAATACAAGTTAAACCTCAAAATCAACAACACACACAGGATCAAACTTTATTTGAAAAACAATAATAAAGACATAATAATACATCCTGTTGTGTTAAATAAATGTTCACATTGTCATAGGGGTAAACATTATATACGTAGGAACCTGGAATACGTAATATACATATACCGTGGAATACGTATAATTGCATTAGTAATTTAGTGTCGTTGTAAATTATGCCATCTTGTAATTGATTATACTAACTACTATTGTATAAGTGGTTTTACCGTGAATAAATAAATAAATAAATACGTCTCTCTCAACTAAATCATACAGTTTCCTTCGCTTCCCCTGGAATACCACCTTAAACCATATAATAATATCCTAAGTGAGTTCATACTCATTACTCATGAGAATGCAATCTTTTTTCTTTTAGTTCTTTACTAAAACTATTAGCAAATTAACGAACACTAAACTTAATAATCATACTAAACTTATTTTAAAGTCAAATTAAGCTTTGACTAAAAATATTCAACTTAATACGAAAATATATCCGTTCTACAGTAGAGACAACAAAAATTTACGTCAAATATAAAAACTTTACAGCAAATCCCGTTAAATAATAATTTGAAATATTATATCGCAATCAACGAAATCATAAATATATTTAATATTTCTTTAAAAAAGTGTTGGTGTGATGAATAAAGTAAACACGTGTCTTTGATAAAGCAAAAGAAAAAAAGAATGAGTGAAAACATGAGAAATGGTACGTAATTTGACATTAAGACACCAGTGGTATCACATACTGCTACTCCATAGTTACACCTAAAAACCACTCAATAATAATTAAACCTGTGTTTACATAGCCAAAACCATTTTACAAAATACGTAAATATATACCTGAATGACATATCACTCATATAAAAAATATTATGAATCTTTTGAGAAGAGAAACGTTATTTTAAGTATAACCTAGTTTTGGGACAGCAAGTAAATACAAAGCACAGGAGATACAACCCCTTAACTCCCCGTCAAGACCCTTACACTGTAAACTAATGAGCTCAACAATTACATTGTCACTAACGATGTGGCCGAGAACTGGCAGTTAAATTAATACAAAGTTACTTTACTGCTTTAACAACATGTAAACTAATCCTGCTGATTAAAATTATGGTTAAAATTACAAAAATTACCTTATTAAAGTTTTTTTCCGGCTAGATTGATATGAAATCCTGTTTGCTGGTTATTACTACCATTTTAAAATAATTTTTTCTTGCTATTATTCTTAAACTTAACTCCACAAGAAGTTGAATCCCCTATTTCCTCTTGGTGTAACACCAGTAAGAACTACTCTTCATAGAATATGTTTAGGTTCCGTATCCAAAGTCAACGATTATAAAATAAAGATTTTGATAGGTGCCACTTTTGGTGGTTATTACAGTATCTTGTAGTTTAAAATAAAACAATACATCATATATAATTCTTAGAAACACACAAAAAGCGCTAAAACATAAAATAATTTAAATATGTATGATTTTATTGGATACTCCAATTAGCATCAATGACAGTAGGGAAGTGGCAAATACATTTCATATGTCAAACATAGGGGTACACTGATGGACCAGAGAATTTTGACTAGAGATTTTAAATGTCAAGTATATAAAATTATTTCCTAGATCTTAGTGAAGACTAAGTTAAGCTAGTAGAACCCTGAATACTGACACAATAATTATTGTGCCTGGATTATTGTAAGTAGAGATAGTTGTGTTTTAATAACTTTTACAATACTTTACAAATATTTACCGACGACTATATGATGGATAAGGTATAATTATGTCTTTAAAGTGTTATTATACGCTTCCCATTGATAATCTGTAATAGCAATAACATGTAATACCTCTTCCTTTGCTTGAGAACAATGTAGACATTCAGTCTTCAAGCGGCATAAAAAGTAACTAAAATTGCTAAATAAAAATAGTTACTATCTACACAAATCCTAGGCTAGTACATACTGATTTGTAATAAATAAATGGTGGAAGGGAAAAATCGCTCAGTCAAATAAACCCATATTAAAAACTCTTGTACAGTCTCATATAGTAATTTATTGCTTACTCCTCGTCTTAAAAGCGTTTACCCATCTAGTAATGATTTAATAGTTGTTTTTGTTAGCATTTCGTACTAATACTTGATTTATACAATATATTGTTAAAATAAAAAAAGTAAATATTTAATGAGAAACAACTAAATTAAACGTGCATTGACTGTACAATGGTTTTCTAAGCCAAAGTAGGCAACTCATAGCAAAACATAAAAATATAAGGCTATTGCTATGTCCTATTCCAATTAGTATGCGAAATCAATACAAAATCTTTTTTTACAACTCTTTAAAATACATAGAGTATCCTCCATTTTTTCTATTGAGTAGCCATTTTGTAACGGGTGTTGTGCGATATTTGACTTTTCTGTCGTCAAGTAGGGACGCCATTCAATATTCTTGTCATTCGCCTATTGGGTGTAATGATTATTGGAGTGTCCAATCGAAATCGATCACCACTTACCATATTTATGTACATTTACCATCTTGTGAGTAACAGTATTAGCGTAAATATATGTTTTAATTGTTATAAGACGTTTCTTTTATTTACTTGTCACAATACAAAATGGCATGGATTCTCATAAAATAGATTCCATGATGTGTAGATGGATGATGTGAATGCCTACATCATGTTAACGGCACTGTGTTCAACCTTCGATCAGCTATTTATTTTTGTCACTTTAGTATTTATATCTGTTTTTGTCATGTAAGTCTTGCTTAGAGGATTCCAAACCGTGTATTTATTGTTTTGTTAAGTCTTGTTTTGTTATTGCTTTAAAAAATTTATCATGGTTTCCATCTTCATTGTTGATATGTTTTTCTTGTTCTTGTTATTGTAATTTATTCAGAATAGCCTTTATTTGTTGTTAAATTTGAGTTTGATAGCTACTACTTATTGTACCTCTTGTAAAAATGGTGTTACCGTGGAAATAAATGAATTGAATTGAATTGAATTGAATTGATTCTGAACTCTTAAATCTTCAATGTTAACTCTATTGACAATGTTGTCATTTTGATACTTTACTGTTTGTTATTATTGTTAAACAGGTAGTTGTTATTGTTGTTAATTTTTCACAATGTTGTAACTGTTGTAATTTCACTCACATTGTTCACCACCACCACCATAATTGATTACGCATTCACATCATATTTTCTTTTGTATCTTGTTGCATGTGTATTTTATCTCATGTATTATTTTGTGAAATGGCGATTGCCGTCAAAATAAATAAAAATATAAAAATTAACCCCCATTTTAAGAAATATATTATTAAAACATTTACTAAAAATTATGTCTTTGAGTGAAACAATGTTGATCTTGATTTAAAAATATATTCATCCCCTCAACCAACTTAAATTAAACTAATCAATGTAATACTATGTCAGTAAACTTCAATTAATAAAGTAAAGTAATTAATTAGTCTTTACATTGCGAAGGGTAGATTGGATTGGTCAAGTCAGTGAAAAAGGTTGACCTAGATAGTAAATAGTCTACCTGGTAGCTTAGCTATGAGATGCTTTGCATTTAAATTGAAACATGGCCCGAGAGCAGCAAAATTAACTGAAACAAGATTAGAATATTGTTAAATTGTAATTGAGTTTGTTGAAAAACATATTTTGTGACTGAATATTAGACAATGTAACTCTGGCGAAGTTAATTAAGATATAAACTGACATGTTTTAAAATTATTAATTCATTGTTTGTTCATTTAAGAAAATAGATCATAAAGTATGATGTTTGTGTGAGACTTTTTTAAATTCTACTTACTATAATCTTTGCTAGTACCAAAATAACTGTAGAGACAACACTGTAAGTTATTTAAGTGACTTATTGTTAAAGCACTTCTACTATTTAACATAGAACGGAAGTTAAATGTAACAGATTATTTAGGAATTTATATGCTTTTTAAATTTTTTTCTTTTCATACTGTTCAATATTTACAATTTAAATTTTCCTCCTCTTCTTCTAAATTTGGCGTATCAATGGAGACATTTACAATAATTCAAACTAAAAGTAGAGTACAATTTTTAGCAGACAGACGACTGTTTAGCAGTCTATAGCTCCACTACTCATTTTCTTAATTTATTGTTAGTTACAGTATACAGTACAATTTTAGCTTTATTTGTGGTATACCTGGTCCAACCTAGATGACAATAACAAATATATAATAAATGCACCAGTAGTTTTCGGTACATGTGTTGTCAAATCACCGATTGATACAACAATTTATTTGGTACGAGAAACCCCCATTTTCCGATAATTTCATCGTGGTCTTTACCCTTGCCCACGGATGTTTTCGCTTTGAGTTAACCATCGTAAAAATAATTTAATTCTTGAAAGTAAACTTTATATTGAAGGGAAATATTGAAAGTAACAAATAATATCACTCTAATATTACCACAACAGAGTAAAAGGTTTCTTGCTACTGTTATATAATTACAACAGTAGCAAGAAACCCTTTACTGCAAGTATAAGTACCTGCAGAATAAATGGTTATTCTGTGCCACAACCTATTTCTCAGAAAGTAACAGCGTTACAACGTCGTACATAAAATACTATGTTATCAGTTTCCCCGTAAAAATGTGCGAATGCCATTTGTTGCCAATAACTATCAACAAGTTGATAGTAAAGTATGTTGAAGAGTTCATGTTATCATCTCACATGTAGATAGGATGATCGTCTGTTTTGCATCTAAATGTTTTTCAACTGATTTTTTTGTAAAATGATCTCATTCGATGTAAACCTAAGCTATGCTCAGTGACCTTGTTGATAAGGTTAGTGTTGATCAAATGGCACTAAGTTGTTTAGATTAAGACAAGGTAAGTCTTAAGCAAAGACCTTTTTTTACTGTAGTCATAATAATATACGTTTCTTGAAATATATGTTGATGTACACGATCATCAGAACATTTATTTAACAATCTTGCATTTTTCATGAACTACACTTTTTTAGAATATATAATGTTACTCGTATTTATCGCAACGGCCAAAAATAGGCTTACTCCTCTATCTAAAAACTTTTAAGTTTCTTTTTGTAAGAAACCTAAACGCTGAAACACCCTCTGTACAATATGCAACTAAGGACCTGCATTTAGTTTAAAATTTATTCAGTCATTGACGTATTTAATTTAGTGGTTAGTTTGAGTACTTGAAAACTTTAAGGGTGTACAGAGAAATTGCATGATGATGCACGTTACCATTTAGTTTCATAATGTAGGAAAAATATAATATAATAAAACTATTAATATCAATTATCAATTATCAATTAGTTAAGATGGGGACGCCACTATGTGCGTATTTTAACCCAAATATGAGTGAAGGATGAGTGTAGGATGAGTGGCGCGATCTTGTAGTCTTGTTAGTGACTAAGGCCGACATATTCCTTAGACACAGCTGTTAATTAATAGCCCATACAGCTAATGGCAACTAAGGGACCTACAGTTTATAGTGGAATCCGAACCACATTTTTCCTTGTAATTTACGAATTGGTCTAATTATCAGGATAGTACTGCGGATAGTCGTAGTACTCACTAGTGCGGACGTTAATCCACACCAGGGAGCATCGCATCCACAGTGCATCCCTATAAATATCCACAATTCGTGACCTCCTAGTAGCTGGATTACAGGACGACGCCACCCGTCCCAGTCAATACAAACAAGTATAAGATATTTCAACCCCCTTAACCCATTAATTAAATTCCATTGACTAACCTAACCTCCCAATTTTAATTCTCAAGGTAAACAATGCCATGGGAATGGAAGGGAGGAAGAGAGCTCCCGGTGTGGCACAACCATCCGTTCAAAATGCCCAAGAAGGAACGGGATGCGCTCGTCCCTCTTAAACTGGTTACCCGGAAACAATGGGGGGCTCTGCCCAATAATGACGAGTATCCGATGGAACTTCCGGTGAACTATGTACGATACGTGCATACCCTCACGGACCCCTGCAACACTAAAGAGGAATGCGTTAAGATAATGAGGGATATGCAAACACAACATATGCGGGAAGGGATGCCGGATATAAACTGGAAGTGAGTAAGATATAGTTAATTGTTTGAAATAGGGTAAATGATAGTTTGTGGTAGTACACAGATTGCATTCAGTGAATAAGTATTTAAATCTCTGCAAATTCTTCCACTTATAAATGTCATGTTTGTCTTGAAATTTTTTGTATCAAGACGGTCAAATACTGTATTGTACACACACACACACACACACATTCATAAAACTCAACACACAACATAACGTAAACATTTAATATCAGCACATTGAATAAGGCATGAAATCCATGGATTTTGAGACTATACACTCGTACAGTCAGTGTTACCAAATATTATAATGTACTATTTTGGAAATTATTTATTTGAAAATAAAATGATTTAATGAGTCACTGACATATTGTGCTTTAGTCAAACGTTTTATTTTCTTCGTTCATTTTGACCACTGTGATCTAATGTATGCCGGATTATTGTGATTATATTGTATAATAATAATATTGTAGGATGTACGATTGCACGATATTGTATTATCGTGATATTGCTGAAAATTAATACCCGATGATTGACAAACTCCTATTCAAATTAGATGTTACACAACGATACCAATATGGTTGTAGTAATATGTTTGATCCGACCTCATTACAAATGTGTGTATAACTGATGAGTTTCATAACTCATACCATCATATAATATAACAAGTAAGTAAGTTCTTTCCAACATAACACGAGGTCTACTCGTACATTACGGCAAACGCACACTGGAAGAATACAAGTTCAGCCTCGATCAGCATATACTATGACCATTCAATCTTCTTTTTATCCAACTGCAGTTTGAGTTCTCAAAAGTTGATTTGCTGTGCTTCACCAAGTTACCGTTCTGCTTATCCATCAATGACTACACTGGTGCGACTTATAAAAACCTGTGCAGGTTTAACTAACACTCATGCATCAATTATAACCAAGCATATACATATTTTCAGTTTCTGGATCGGAGGAGATGGCACCGTGTACGAAGGCCGGGGCTGGGAGCTGGACGCTACAAGGGAATTGGATAACTGGCAACACATAGAAGCAGAGTGTATTGACATCGCATATATCGGAAAGTACGATAGGTTCGGTAAGTAAACTGTGAATCTTCACTAATATACATAACACAACCGTTGACAGGCTTATCATTAGCATTTCTAGTAAATGCACATGCTAGGAAATGTTTCCCTCTTCAGTCTATACACTTAAAATTGTTATTAGTTATTCGCACTAATTGTTATTAGCAGTATTGTACTATAAAGTAAAGTATGTTTAGTTAAAAGCACCCTGAACCGTTAAGTTCTAACTATACTTTAAAAACTCCTTCCGTTAACTCTTAAAATGATATGCTGTTAATCAACAAGGTTTATGTTGGCAGGCGAAAAAATACCGGAGGTGATGACGAAACAGGCGGACGCCTTGGTGGCTCACGGGCTCAACAAGAAGTACATACATTGCTGCTACGAGAAAATACTTTTCGACACAGACCTTCATCAAGAGTAGTTGTTGTTGATATATATTTTGGGGTTTAAATATTCTCATATATATCCAGTTATGTTCAATGGAAGTGTCTGTGATTAGGAAAAGCAGCGGAACGTTCCATATGACATTTTACACAGAAAGTAGAAAAATTGGATACCCTTGAATAATACAATGTTAACATATACCTTGCTTAGTTATTAGACATTTTTCAATTTAACTGACTTATTTATAGAAATTTCATTTTATGAGTCAACCAAAACAAAAGAAATATGAATAAGCCGTTTGAATTATTTCCATAATTCTACCTAATTTTCAATTATACAAAAACAAATGTTATTAGCTTAAAATGATTAATTCAATCTCCGTTTTAGTTTAATAAAAGTGTATTTTAATTTTGAAGGTGCTACATATTAATTGATTATTTAAAAATGTATTTATTTATTTATTAAATGTACACAAAACGTCTTGTTACAGTAGTGTTTATGTTATTTTCACCAAATTGTACATCATAAGCATCCTAATAATTTTAAGTCAAGTAAATTTGCAATCTTTAAAAGGTATACAATTTTAACTTTTTACAACTGGTGTTTTACCAGGGTCTGTAGGCCTGGATATTTGGTTGGATTCATCATAAATGCAGCATTATAAACTTTTGGGGTAACCACAAAATATAATTTTGTTTAAAATGCACACAGTTTTCAAACAGTCAATAATAAAGTCGATAAGTGTAATGACATTACAAGTCCAAATTTATTTCATTCACACTGAGCGATCGTTTGAGGAAAAGAAGAAACAACAAACCCAATTTCTTAAGAAATCGTATTTTACTTTTACAGTCAAAATTTTATATTCAATATCATGTCAACCTTTCTGTCTTAGATCTATAATATAATATTTACAAATATACAATAGCTGGTTACGATCAGTTCAGATGGACAGCACTGAAGAAGTAAAACATATATTGTTTTCTTGTTGCGTACATCAGGATCTCCATTCCGGCTTTCATCAATTGAGGGGGAGGAGTTTGATCTACACAAAATTAAATGGATCGGATTTAAGTGGGCATCTTAAATAGAATAAAACATTTGTAAGGAGACAAACTTTCCTTGATTTCCTTGATCTCATCATTGTTTAAATGTATCAACTAGAGTCTACTTGTAAATTAACTTATCCCTGGCATGAATATATGTTCCAAAATACAATAATAATGGTTGACGAATGTAGCTCTACAGCCGTTAGAAATCAACTTCGGAGTTCTGTCGTGGTATTTGGTCCATCACTTATGTTTGATTTCAAATAGACTTTCTAAATTACTAAGATTTAATTGCATGTGAAAGCTACTGTAATCTCAATTACTTGTTAAAAGTAGCATTTTAAAATTTGTTTATGTATTTTTTTTAAATTTGCGGAGTAAGAATATTTTTTTATTTAATTAGCAGCTAAATATTATTTAAAATTACCTTCAAAATCGCCAATATAAGCTACTTGCAGGCTTTGTGACCCTGGTGTGCAGTGCATCGGATCCATGTCCGGCTCGGTAGCCCAGCCTCGGCCCTCGAAAATCCATCCATCACCCCCAATCATGAAACTGGAAATATCCAAAGTAGTGATATCAATGTTTGAGAGTATTTTTACGAAGAGTAAATAAATACGAATCCAGACGTTAACGGCAAGAGACTCACTCACCCTAAAACCTTCACACCTGATCAAGCGACCAGGCCGAAGCCCTTGTCGGATGATTTTATGATGTGCCATGTGTTTTGCGTCCTAAAGTATCACGGGAAGTCCAATAAACCTAGAGGTTATCAAGATAGCCCTCTTCTCGCTTTGGGCGAAGCACTAGTAGACAACTGCCCTCCATTCATTCTCATTTTGAAGACTCTGACAGGACCCACTGCGTGCGAGTTGTTGCCTTGTTTCGTTCAAGTGCGGTTAAGGTTAAGGATCCGGGCAGAGCGAACCTCGAGGTGAATCTACTTTCTCCACCCGATTACCTTATTTTTTTAAACATGTAAAACGTAACACTTAAATATGAATACGATTTATTCGTGAGCAAAAACCACCCAATTTTGTAAGACCCCGAATGAAACTAAGGTACTGATTAAAATCGTATACGTACGTACGCCCCGCTGCTCCTGCCAGTTACAATATTTACAAAAGAAACTAACTGTGTTGTATTTTGAAACTAGATTAGAGGAATAAGAAGAATCTAATGTAAGCTATTTTCTGTACTTATATAAAAATAGAAACTCAATGAATCGATAACCTCTTGGTTGGATCGTAAATACTTGATTAATTCTTTACGCTTTGCCTGCGTTTATGATTCTATTTAGTGTTGAATAGTGATTTGGGGCTGCTTGGTTCTTGTATAACCTCATTCAAAAGAAAAAATGCCTATTGCAAAACATTTACTACATTATTAAAAAACAGATATAGATGTCAGCAATCAAAGGCATATTTAACCTTAATCTTAAGGCTAAGAGTTGAATTGGGTAAGGTGAGGTGTGTAACTTGTTACTAATAACAGCTATTTATATGGCTACAACCCTATTACTTGGGTATTGATACGCCTATAATCTAGTTATCGATTGAGTATAAAACCCCCAAAGCCAACGCGGCCTGGCTTAGAAACATCATTTAGCTACGTACTTGAAGATCGAACAGAATATACAGTGTGAATATAAAGTCAAGACCCCCCCTCTAAAATTTTTGCAAGTAAATAAACAGAGATACCCTTTTGGTGGTCGTGCAATCTTAGCAGGAAGTTTCATTTTATGATTTTGAAATTTTTGATTGTCCCCCCGAAAAGGGGGTATTTGGGGGGCAACTAAAATATGTTAAATGTAAACCCCCATTTAATGACACTTCGTTTTGAAGTGTTTACAAAAACTTAAAGAATGGTGAAAACCAGACTTCGCTATCTCTTCTCTATCCAAAATGGTAGCCAATATTACCATTACGAACCAATTTTAAAATTGATTTTCCACAACATTTGACGGGCTACCATTTTGGATAGAGAAGAGATAGCGATCTCTAGTTTTCTCCATTATTTAAGTTTTTGTAAACACTTCAAAATGAGGTTTCACTTGAAGGGGGTTTACATTTAAAATATTTGAGTTGCCCCTCAATGACCTACACACATTACACTTCTGTGCTTACTTGTGAGTGATGTCATTGTGGCCCAAAGTGTCCATATGCTCAAACTGTAGCTTCTTCAAGGTTCTCTTGCATTCTTGAAATGTGTGACACTCTGAGGTTCCCGTATGAGTGAAGAGTATTTTGCTGACAGGATGTTTGAGCTCCTTCACTTTGGCTCCAGGAGGATGAGCGTTCCATTGCTTCCTTGAGACCATGAACAGCTCAGGGTCCTCTCGGGAAGTCTTCGGGTTTAAGTTCCTAGTTAGCCCTACCATGACGAAAAAGTAGAGCTGAAAAACAACGTGCAATTAAAAAAAGAGAGGAAATTACATGAGAAAAAGTACAATTGATTATAGAAAATATGTAGAACAGAACAAAACGTTTTCGTCAAGAGGTAGGTTTTATTAGATAAATGGGCGGATGTATGTTTTTTTGTGAGCTTATAAATTTTTATTGCATGTTCTGTTTTATAGATTGTTGTACCTTAATGTTGTTTTAAATTTTGAAATGTTCTTGATATAAATGAATCGTATATTGTACGAATCCAATAAACCTACACAAGGTGTATATCTTCTACGTTGTAATATATACTTCTATATATTACAATTCTATAAGTTCTAATCGATAATTTATTCAATTCAATGTTAAGCATTAGTCGATTTTATCAACCTAGTCATAACTAACATAAAATAACAATGACCCTAAAAATGTAAAAATTTTACTTTGATTTCAATTAAATTAATACTAAGTCTTGGACATGATAAATATACTTTTAGCATTCCATTGTACTTGCTATACAGAAAGAAAGATTTTTTTTACCTTTAATTGGGCGGTGTAAAGTCACCTTTTCTACATCTTGTAACTACCAATTTTCCAATTTACTTTCATTGTCTCACGCTGTATTTATTTTATCTTCGTTAGTTGGTGTGTCTTTGGTACACGTATATTTAGGTAAATGCTAACATACTAAGTGACAGTGAAAGTAAGCCAACTGAGTTTGCAATCTAAGTTGTATGATTAATAAATTGATAATGACATTCCGGAACAATCTTTCTATCATACACGAGGGAGCAAACGCGCCCAGGAACCCAAATAGTTTTGGCCTGACTGTTCGTATATCATTGGTTTGTATGGCGAACGAACTGCTATTTTTAGTTGTCTTACAGATTATTCAGTTTTATGCTAACAACAATATGCTTAACATAGATGCAAACATAAAACTGATAACTGGTAACATACAATTGATAACTTTTGAGATATGTAATGTAGTAATGTTGCCTTAATGTGCCTTTGTTTTGAGAAAACATCCAACGAAATCGTTATAACTACACATGTGTTAACTGAATATTTAAGCGTTTTATATGGAGTGCGAATAATCCCAACGATGTTTATTTTCTAAAATATTTATTAGAAATTGGCATACAAAACATTATATTATAAAATAACTTACAATGCATGATATAATTAACTTATGCTAAATGAATACATTTGTGCGTAGGTTTTATAAGCTTTATCTTCATTCCGTAGAGCAAAAAATCAAAAGCTGCTCTTAGCATTTCAGGTGGAGGAGGAACATCTGAAAAAGTAAAAACCCCATTATTTTGGGAATTTTGAACATTAATATCACATACATTATTCTTCCTTTACTGTTTATTCTTGTTCCGCAAGTGTAAGTAATGAATTACTTAGGAAAATGTCCAACGTTCGACTATCAAACGAACTTTAAACTGAGCTGTTGTGGTTGAGTATTGATTAGACAGTGTAGATTAATATTTAAATCTTTTTATTTTTAAACTTTTCCCCCTTTCTCATTTCATTGAGATTTTTTGTTTTAAGATCATGTGTCCCCGGTATTTTTCGTTTCATATAATTCCTTCAGTGTTATACTTTTGCAAAAATTTATGGCCTCGACCAACGATTAAAAATTCAATTTATACTGTACATAGCGTCTAAAATAGTTTTTGTGTTTAATTCTTGTTTAAAGTGTTAATATACCCAACATATACGACGAAAACATTATTTTGAAGATATCTTATTTTTGACCAACCTTAAAAAGCCAACCTTAATGTTAGTTGAAAAGCAAATCAAAAGACTGCTAGAGAATAACTTTTCAAATTATTGATATTGTTGTAAAGAATTGAATCATTGTGCATTTTTTCATAAATGTTTCAAATACAGTAACACTAAGACGGATTCAACTATATCTGACTAAAAATAATGTATTATTCCACGAGGAGTATTGTATCCTTCTTAGTTTTTGCTAAAGGGTAAGGGTATAGATAAAACAATAAAATAGTTCTTATGTATGTATTTACAAATCTTTTTTTACTATTTCTTAAGCAAAAGTGATGTGGCTCTTTATTAAAAGCAAAGCATCTCAAAAAGCCGTATTCCATCTTTAGGTTAATGGAGCAATGTAAGAGCTCTTAAGATCGTTCGCTTTTCTCGTGTTTACCTTTAAGAGCTCTTTACGTTTTTAAACAGGTTTATTCAACTTTTACATGTGTCTTTTTTATCCCTTTGATGTTTCAGTTTTTATTTAACCATATTAGGTTGTATTGTGTTATTGTAGTCTATATTTATTATTGTTTATATCCCGTGATCTAAGGTTAAATATATATTAGTGCACAATGTAATGTGTTATGTAAAATCGAGTTTTTATGTAGCATATAACATAGGGTTGGTGTTTCCTAGACTCGATAAATTCTCCATGAGTTTATGAACATGGTATTGAATTGTAGTGTTGTTAATGTAGTGTTGTTAAATTTCTTTAACATAAAAAATGTAAAGAAAGTCCTTCATTCTTAGCACTAGGATTTCTTGTGGTTGTAATAGATTTGACGATTGTAAGAGTTTGATGGGTTTGTGTATTGGTTATGATTTAGCTGCTTTCTAACCTTAAGACAAGATCATATTATAAATCAAAGAAATATTGTTATTGCCGATGATTCTAACAATCATTCTTCAAATAACATAAACTCTTTATCACGAAAAATAGTGAGAAACAAATAATCGAAACTAGGATTTCGTCTGCGGTCTTTCTAAACAACTGACAATCAATTTGGCCAGATAAAAATGTAAATTAACAGTAATTTAAGGTAATGTATACTTCACCTTCATACTCTCCGATATAGGCGACTTCGATGCCTCTATTTTCTAAGTATTCATACAACAGCGGTCGATGAGGCTCTTTGTACCATCCCCTGCCTTCATAGACAGCACCATCACCTCCTATCATGAAACTGACAGTAACACGTCAAAATAGCATTGACATGCCCTGAATGACAATCAAAAATGATTACACGTCAAGTATAAATTAGTTTGTCCTAAGATGCTAGGCACATAGGCACAAGCCCGGAATAGTTTTTCACATTACTTCAGGCTAGACCAAGGGGCTGCAGCATTATCACGTAGATAAAATCCATTTGTGATTTGGTGGGATTTGAACCCAGGACCCCAGGAACCGAAGTCCCAAGCTCTAACCACTAAACCAGCTCGCTCCCCCCAATCATGACAATTACGTGTCAAAACTAACTTTGACACTCCTTAGTACTATATAATAGCCACACTTCGAGAATAATGAATATTACACATTGCAAGACTAAGTGCAATAGCTCTGTGATATAGCTATTGTAATAGTATTGATATGCTATATTTATCCTTTTGTTTGTGTGTTATTGTCATCTATGAGAAGTAGATAAAATGATGATGACAAGAGAGGGATAACTAGTCCAAGTAAAAAAAAGTACGTCATTACCGTAACAGTGCATTTTTTAACATAAATAGTAAAGTTGCTAGTCTCTAGAATAAGTGACAATCATGTATTGCAATGTTAAGATTTAAATATCAAAAATAATATTGACATTTGAATAAAAAGAGACACCAGTTTTACTATATAAGGGTTTAAATTTAAATGGACCTTCCCAATGGACACACAAACTTAACTTTCACAAGCACACACTCTTGCCAAATAGGATAGAATGTGAAAGATTAACGACCTTCTCAATGTATGCTTTTACATTTTTAAGATACTAATTCAATTCATTGATCTCAAAAGTATAATATCCAATGACATAATTAAAAGCGTACTCTTAGTTTGGATCAACCAAATGTAACAACCATTTCTATAATTAAAAACTGAATCCACTGAACAGTTTCTTTAACGAAATAAATCCTTATAAATGATCAATAATTGGATAAATCAACAATCTTACACTTACTTGAAGGTCATATCATGCAGTTCCACGGTGGCAAGTTGATCGTTCTGGATTCTCCTCAAGACTTGAGCACATTCTTCCCTGTCGTAGCAGGGCTCTGTGCTTGTGTGTGTGAAGGTCACGTGGTCCATGGGGATGATGACGTCACGAGGGGGTGTCTCTCGTGGTCGTAGTGCCGTACAGGGCTGCGCACCCCATTCTTCCCTAGTCACTATGTCTAAGGAAGGGCCTCCCTCCTCCTTCTCCCTGAGACGGAGATGATAGAGCTTATCTCGGTCTACCATTCTTCCTGGGAGGTTGAAGGTATAATTTGAGATATTTTTGGAATAAAACTTGTAATAAATATTTTAAAATCTTCCACTGTGGTCAGTCAGACTGCATACCTTAAATGTCAGAATGTGGCTAATTTCGTAAAAAATATCAAAATCTATTGTTTAGCCATTACATTTCCCCATAAAATGACACCAAGCTCAAAAATATAATCATTACTATCATTATCAATAGTGGTAGGAACTCCCCCTATGTGCATATTGAGTTATGGATCTCCCAATATGAGTTAAGGATGGAAATTTATGCCTTGTGGCTTTGTTACTAAGATCAGCTGTTTCAGGATGATTAGTCAGGATGATTTGTTAAAAGCTCAATAATCAAAGACAGCTGAGTCCAGTTTTAAACCTTCTAAAAGCTGCACACTTTTCTCAGATCAGTTATTTAGACTTTGTTTATCCCCCAAAAGTGATATTCCTAGAGGAAAATGTTAAAGTAGTTATCAAAAGAGTGAATCTTTCTGTAATTATCTTTAAAAAAATTCAGAAAAGATTAGAAAGATTGACACTTCAATTGGGTTTTACTCCCGTTTATTTATACTATACATGTTCATCGATAGAAGCATTGATGAAAATTAAGTACTAAACATTTATGCAAACAATGGTATGAAGTCAATAATAAATCTCAATTCACAATAAACACTTTATGAATACTCACATGTGGTGCCTATGCACTTCATTTAAATATTATGAATACACTATTTCACAAAATCAAACTGCTTTAAGTCTAACACAACGATAGCATTGTGAACAAACAATACTTATCCTAATGAGTTCTTTTAACTTTGATATGATCTTGATTACCACCGAGCCATATTGAAGATAAGCTTAAGCATAATTCAATAAAACAAGTAATTTAAGTTCGTTGACGCACAAAAAAACAAAAAATATCTTATCCAGCTGATTTGTCAAACACTAAATGCTGGAAATCCATGAAAGGGCTCACAAGCTTGTGATTAATTCCGTAAACCAGCAAATTGAACGCTCCAACCATTTTCTCCCACGGAGGTAATTCATCTGGAAAACACATTGATACAATCGTAAATAGCTGCAAATTGCAGTACTTAAACACACAACAACTCTGCAACAGCTTTAGGTGTAAGCATTCAAGTATTTTTCAGCAATCTGTGATTGTTGATATAGATTAGGAAGAACTTTTGTCCCTGTGTTGTAGGCAGCTTAAGAATAAAGTGACTTGGGTCAATTGAACAAGCAACTGAGTGGGCTGGTTTTTATTATGACGTTTTCTCTCACAACCACATTCAACAGAAGACTAGCTTAGCTTATCCTGTGAAAAATAGAACTTAAATGGTGACACGCTCTACGAGAAACCTTCTCAAATATGTTCTACTAAAGAAAAAACCAATGGCTAAAGTGGTTTCTTGGAGGTGGGATGTACATTCACTTACAAAATTGATGATTCTAATAATAGTAGTTTATTACAGACACCTTTTTCACTTACGCATCTATTTTACGGTTTGTTTTGATACCGCCTTTACTTTTTTATTTATTTTTTTTATTTTTTAAATATTTGATACTGTTGGGTAACCCAATAGATATTGCAAGTGCCAACCAAAATTTACGTACCCTAAATAGTATTTTTACATAACCTGGACTTATTAATTTGTGTCATAGAATAAATGCTCATCATACAAATGTAGTTATTGTTTGTAAATCATTGTTGCATGGAAGGTAACACTGAATTGATTGTAACCTTTTACGTTATTGATATAATTCACTTACATTTATAGTCCCCCATGTAGGCTATAGAGATGCATTTGCCTTGCACTTCCATGTACTCGTTTGGCAGTTCGTGGTCCAACTTCCAGCCTCGACCCTCATATATAGTGCCTCCTTCACCTACGAGAAAACTGTCAACATTCTGTGAAACACAAATTTTGATTCGTGATTTTGTAAACCTATTGGAGCCATGGCATATTTACTTCAAACAATTTTTGTTCGATTAAGATTACACAATGAATAAAAATCTACAGGTTTTAAACCCCAAGAATAGAGGTAATGTATAAGTATCAAAAAAGCAAAATTTGTTCTATAAATCCCGTAAAAAAAAATTAAGAACCATCACTGTAAAGTATTCACAGGAAAAATTATACTACTGAGCAAGACCTTTTTAAATGGGGCCAATAAAAACCAACTGCAAGCGTTGGAACAATAATCCCTTTGGCCCAAAAAAATATACCGGTACCTACCTACTTAAGTCTTAATCGAAGAGTTTATTTGAAATAGTGAAAAAGTAAATTTCCCCATTTTCAAGCATTTTACTTGGTTTGATACAAGTAACTCCTAACTTAAGCGTGGCGACTTCTCGGCTGTAGTACTTTTCTTTTTATGACCTACGATAAATATCTAATTAATTAGATTTTTATGACTTCCTCTTCTAAAAAGCTAGTTAACTTATGTTAAAATTGAATGAGTGGAATTCATTTTCAGTACTATCGATAGGCTTTTAGAGAAATATCCAAGTAACATTTTGTCTGTAACTTTTATGATTGTGATGTAAAGCTTTATGAGGTATTTACTTGAAGTTGATGTCAGCAAACCCGTCTTCCTTGTCCTTCTTCTGCTGCTCCTTGAGATCCCGAATGCATGATTCCCGGTCCGCACAAGCTGTAGGCGCGTCCGTGTGAATGATACGGACAAAGGAAGGTAACCAAGGGAGTGCCGTTTCCCATACAGGTGCCTCGGCACCCCATTCATCCCTGGTGATAATGGTAACTTTCTCATCCAACGGGCTCGTTTTAGGGAGGTCTATGGTAACTTTAGTGCCTTAAAATTAAAGAAAATTGAACAAATTTTGTACTAGATTAAAGTTTATTCTTTCTACCATTGCACAGGTTGCTGAACTTTAATCAAACAAAAAGAACAAAATATCAAATACATTACGTATGGTAAAAAAGGGCATTGTGGTAAATCATTTACGAGCTTAGGAAGAATTCTTTGAACAATCCTGGTGATACTTAATTGATTGCATTTTTAAAATTTAAAGCCTAACCGTGAACTCCTTTGTAATTCAACTAGACCAAAAGGTGATTTTAATAATGTATAGGTTAAAAACAAACTGTATAGGTTAATTAATAATACTGTAAAAACTTGTAACATAAATTTTCTGTATTATTTATAAGTCGACCAGGGATTTTAAAACACTTTCTAGAACAATAATAGACAGTTCTATGACTCGTGGCTTGTGGTAACGAATGTTAACTTCTTACTTAGCCTATTGTACATGAGAATAGCTTACCTGGCCTATCTGGCCTCACATTTAATTCCTCCATTTCCAAAAAATAAAAAGCACACAATAAATATTTTCAAGTCATATTAGCTCTGTCATATGTATTAAAACACTTTTTGCGTTATGACTTTATTAGGTGATCCTGTTTACAATTACCTAATATGACCAACATTTTTTTTAACTCATGACTTATTATCGTCTTTACAGCTAAATCACCACTAAAAGTGCAAGTTTTGTACGAGTTATCGCTGTATAATTATCACCACTGATACCATGGGTGGATGTAATTTTAAGAGAGCTAGCTCAAAAACTAAAATCATGGAATATTAGTGTTTGTATAGCTTCAATTTAAAAAAATATCCTATTACGCCAAACATTTTATAAAATACGTGATTTATTTTATTTGCTTCAATTTGATTATTTTAGATTGACAGATTGGGAGTAGCTGTAAGCTTGTAAATAGCTGTATTTATTTAAAATATGTTTACTTATCGCATTTTGGTGTGATTAGTTACAATTATGGGCATAATATCTATAATAATTTTTGGAGCTTCCTATAAAACTCCAATGCTAGAATTATTATTTGTTTTAATTTGTTTAATCAAATGTTTGTCATTATGGCTGTAAATTTAATACGCCATTTTTTACATAATGTTCTTGGGTTTAAAACAAGTATATCCCCCGATAGTAAAGTTCAATTATTCAACATTCACTATTACTTCACACACACAGCACAGCCTAATCTGCATGCATTACAAGTGTTGAACAAGAAAGAATGAACCTTAAGAAAATCTAAAATTAGTTTAAATATTCAACACAGTTCTTAATCAACTCCTGGAAGTACAAATGTGAACATTGTGAATCTAAGTTGATCAAAATTATTTTATTTTGTAGACAAGTTCAATACAAAATACTATACAAAAACAGATTCCACGGATTTTCTTACACATCCTCAGGCACATCAACCACGTCATTTGCATCAGCTGGTTCATCCACAATAAAATCTTCTCCAGACTCCGCTGCATTTGCATTTTCAGGTGATTCACCTTCACCTGCCCCTAATCCATCCAGGCCATCATCATGTTCGTTTTGATCTCCTTCATTGCCCCCAAAATCTTCTTGTTTGGGCAACACGTCAGTGTCCAGCGCCGCTGAGGGTATTTTAAAATCAGCTTTATAGTCTTCAGGCCAGCATATAGAAGGGGTCATTTCGTGGTCTTCGTGAAGTAAACAGTTCTGAAGCATCCATTTTGTCAGTCGCTTTGCGGTCAGTCTGAATCTCCAAGGTGCCACCACATCTGAAATTACCCCAATTGTATATGTAAAGACTTATTTGTAATAAGAATAGGTGAATGTTAGCTTTGTAAAATAGTTTTGAACAATAGAAGATTTAATTTCAGTTGGTGCAAAGCCTCCAAAAGTGACTCCAAATTGTCCTTAAAAAATATTTTAGCATTTAGTGGGATATAAAAATAGATATTTTCGATATTTTACGGTTGTTAGCACAATCTTCTCCAGAGTTTAAGTGAGACGGAAAAGTGGAGCACAACCTTATTTTTATGTTTATAATTACCTAAGGTAATTTATTACGTGACTTATCTGTGTTCACTTATTTTTTTTATTTTTACCACCAAACCAATTATCCAACTTACTATGGAACCTCCCAATATATGCGATGTTTAAGCTCTCTCCCTTGGAGTCGACCCAGGGATCATCAAACACCGTGCATTTCCAGTCAAACCCGCGTCCTTCGTACAGCATCCCATCGCTGCCAATCAGGAAACTGGAACATTTAGCGTACGTTCTGATATTACAGAATGAATGTAAAACACTTCAATAAATCATCGAACTTGTAACAAAGAAAACATATAAGAATACCATTTTTGTTTTATTTACAAAATATAAGAAGTTTATGGGGTTGGTATTTTTAAAACGCACCAATCATGTTAAGGTGCAAACCTCATAACATTTCTACGATAGGAGGATAATGTAGATTATTTATGATTAACTTACTGTTTAACATATAATAAAAATTTGACTGGCAGCAACAACTTCCATCATAAAAATTCTGATAATTTCATTATTATTTTGGATTTTCCAATAAAAAAACTGTTACTTACTCAACTGTAATTCTCATGCATTCACTTTTATCACTTTATTAAATAACAGTGAAGAAAACACAATAACTTAGTCCCTACATTTTCTCTAACTGTCAATGAGAACTACATCCTAATCTAATATTTAACTATTGCATTACTCCACTTAACTCAAATCAACTCAACATTTCAGTACCAGCACTGTAAATTAAAACTCTAAAGCAAATTCTCAATAGAAATACATATAAAATATATTTACTTTACTTGTACATAAGGTCAGGAAACCCCTTTTCCTGGCTGTCCTTCTGCAACTGTTGTAGAAAAGGAATACACTCTTCAGGGTTTTTGCATTCATCGGTATCCGTAAATGTGTGCCTCAAGTGCATAATGGGGAACTTGAGTCGTATGTCGCTATCCATGTGCATCCAAGGGACAGCAGACCACTCGGCACGTGTAATCATCTCTAAAGGCGGGGGAATGTTGCTTTTTGGCGGGTGTTTTAACAGCTCGGGAATCACCGCCCTCCATTGCGGTTTTCGGCCTCTTCCAGCCGATCGGACCATTTCGGTGTTTATTCAAAGACCTGTCGTGTTAAATAATTAATATAATTACAGATGTAAGTGTTTAAACGTAACACATTGTTTTTATACTGGGAGGACAATTTGACGGTATCGTCATTGTTGTCGCAAAAGCTTTGAAATTAAAATTAAATTATTTATAAAGAAATTAAAACATAAACGTAGCTAACTCACAGAGAAGTAATATCTTTTTCTAATAAGACTTTTAGTTTTTTTTAATTTATTCTAATACCCAAATTATAGAAATTTATATTTCACTCGTGTTATTAGGCTTTTGTTCTTATAAAGCAGTAGTTATCTTAAAGACATTAGCCGTTGATAATCAATTTATTGTTGTAACAACGATAGGAACAAGAACTTTTTAAAAAGCTTTTATTCTATGATCCTACAAAAACGTTCTAAGAATAGAACTGCGACATTTAAAAATTTTCACTCATTAAAAAATCAAGATGTCTAAGGACTTTTAAAGCTTATAAGCTCTCCAACTTTAAAAAACAAATTAATAAATTTTATTCTTATAAAATGTCTGATTTATGTAAATATAGGATTTTACTTTAGACTTATAACGTCATGCCTAATTTTTAGGTTATAGTTCGAATGCATCTTACTACTTTATTATAACAGATGGACTTTATTAATTATAATTACTATAAACAGTGCATATTATATTTAAACTAACGTTAACTACTTTACGTGATGTTTACCTGCACTACCTTCTAAGAGACAGAACACTGTAACCATCCATTGAGTAACCAGCGTTAACTGAACGATAAAAGTAGTAAACGTCTAAGTCGTTATCGTGGTCGTTGTCGATAACAGATATTGATAATTATTAACTGCTTGGTTTAACGATTTTGTTCGATAATTACACATACATTGTACACACATTGTACTATAATTACCGTAGCATGTTCCAAAAAAGAAATGTGCAAAGGTTAGCTCTAAAGTGTGATTTCAACACGTAAACATCCCTAATTTGCTGTATTGACATGCTACGGCCTTCTCCAAAGAAAGGGGTATTTTATGTTTTGATTTATTAAGACTTTAAAATACACCTGTTAAACATGGATCCTAATGTTGAAGACCTAAGAAAGAAACCATCGTCTGTGATTACCACGAAGCAACATAATGTGTTTTACTTTTTTATAACAAAGCAATATTCAGGGCATTCATTTATAATTTTTAACTCTACAACTAATATTTTATTTTTATGTTAGTTTTTTTATATTTAGATTTTAAAACACCATTTTGTTGCTAGGCATATTATTTATTTATTTATTTATTTGGGATTTTGCGGCTTTATGATGAATATAAATTCTGTTGATTGTTGGTGGAATAATTACCCCTAGATTTATTACAACTTAATACATACAATCCTTTTTTATTAAGTTCATCATTTCAAAAATCAAACCAGTCTACGATAGTGTTTACAGTTCTAACTAAAGCATCAGTGATTCGCTTAAAAATCTTGTTTAATGTCTATAATCACCACTTTCAATGGAATCTGTATTGCATTTCTTACATACATGTTGTTTCATTTCAAATTTGTAGATATTGTGTTTGATATGAAAAAAACTTATTATCTATAGTTTCCACCAATTTATTGCCATTTCAATCTTTTTTAAGAATATAACCAGTGTTTCCTAATTTTAAATGTCATTATGATGGTTATTTTTCACCATTACTTGCTGTGGCCAGTGACTTAAGTGTTTAGAAAACCACTTTAGACGATATAGAAGGAGCATTTTTTTCGAATAAGTCAGAAATAAAATTAATATAACTTAATACCTTGTCACTACTGGAAAAACGATTTTTTTCTGTTCTCTAAAACCTTATATAAAACGCTACATAATAAACATTTAATAAAATAATGTTTTTTAATGAAGATATGATTCTTCAATTCTTTATTAATTTTGTTTCAGGTGCTGTTGGTAAAATGTTTATTAAATTCTATGATTCGGCTAAGTTAGAAAGAAACACGTTACACAGGATATGTCTAGTAAATACAAAATATTTGTTTAAGAACATTGAAACCACATTCTTCGTACATTAAGGTGTATTCATTTCTTTTCATTGTTCTCAAATACCTTTCTTTATAAATATTGGTTCATATTGTATTATTGGTCGTAACTACATGAACGCTTTTAAATCTTACTAATATTATAAATGTGAAAGTTTGTGTGTTTGTTTGTTGTTTGTTTGTTTGTTTGAAGTTCAATCACGCATTAACGACTGGACGGATTGGGCTGAAATTTGGCATGATGATAGTCCACATTCCCGATTAACATATAGGCATATTCTTTTCTCAAAAATCCTTTCGGGCTCCGCCCTAGTGGCTCTGCAGTTTCCCATTTTAACCTTATGAGTATTCATATTTAAAAGGAATTAAATAATTTAGTCAGCTGATTCAACTAAAAATATTGGTTCTATGATATGCAAAAGCATTAAAAAGTTATAAGATTTACCAACAGGGTGCGGCACTATTATTTTTTTGCATTTATGATAACAGCTAATTTGAACTATAAGCAGCAAAAAAACTGTGATACGCAATGAGAACTGTCAAAGTAGGATTGTTTACAGTTATGTTGATGTTTTTAATTTCATGAATAATTTGTGATATTTTGCAAACTTTAAGTAATTTATTTTTCCCTACTGTTTAGGTGAAGTGGTAGAATATTATAGGTACGGAAGATGTGTAAATACTATGGTATACCGTAAATTTAAAGAAGCAAATTTTATCAAACTGTGTCCTCCTCCATTGCAATAATGCAAAGCTCAGGTTAAGGTATAACTGCAATAAGCGTTTTATACTTATATGCCGACCCCTTACGAAGGACGGGTACTCTGCTAGTATTTAATAATTATAAAAAAGAGGTGGTTGCTGTATGTGTGTATGTGTGTATGGGAAAAGTAAACTCGAAAAATACTGGTCGGATTGGGCTGAAATTTGGCATGATGATAGCTCACATTCCCGATTAACATATAGGCATATTCTTATTTCAAAAATCCTTTCGGGCTCCGCCCCAGTGGCTCTGGAGTTTCCCATGTTAACCTTATGAGAAATGGAATTATTGAATCTTAACAGCTGTTTCAATTAAACAAGTTGGTTCTGTTCTATGATGTTCAATAGCATTAAAGTTACAAGGATTACCAACAGGAAGCAGCACTATTATTTCTTTTACATTTATGACAACAGCTAATTTGCAACCAAAAGGTGAGTGAGCGTAGCGAACGAACTTCAACCTGGAGGCGAGTTAGCGTAGCGAACGAGCTAACCTGAAGGCAAGTGAGCGCAGCGAACGAGCTCCAACCTAAAGGTGAGTGAGCGTAGCGAACGAGCTCCAACCTAAAGGTGAGTGAGCGTAGCGAACAAACTTCAACCAGGACGTGATTGAGCCATGCGAACGAGATAATCTTGAAAATTAAGAAGTTAAACGGGGCAAAGCCCGCGGGTTACAGCTAGTATTTAATAAATATATATTTCACATCGCAGGTATATTAAAGCTCTTTTCAGATCAATTAATTACTCCCACTAAATACTCCAATAAACATTACAAATAAACTAAGTAAAAAAGAGTCATGAAACTTGATAGACATTTAGAATTTAGTTAACATCTGCAATAGCTTTAGATGTATTCAGAAGTCTTCATAAAACTCCTCCACATCGAAAGGAAGTTTGAACATTTTCCGCTTTATTCCCCAACTCACCAATCCTTGTGCAGCATCTATCATTTTTTGGCTTGCAGTCTTCTCACCTACAAACAAAACATAGTCTAATGCGAAAGCCCATAAAATTAACAGGACCATATCAGTACTGTATATTTATGTGGTAGTTTCTATAAATTACTGAGTAATTCCCTGACATTTCTCAAATTGTTCATACTAAGTCAGGAATGAAATTCTTAATCGTTTTATAATTAAAAATTTACTATAATAAGCATAATGATGTGATTATAATTTATATCTATGACTTTTGTACATGTCCAACAGGTTTGTAAAAAACTATTCAACGCTTTAATCTTCATAAGAATTTGCAAGCGACCATAATAAAATACCTACTTTGTATGGTCGCCATTTCATTGAAAAGTATTAAAGTACTCAATATTAATATTATTAGAAACAATACCCTTCCCAGTTTGAATACACAAAACAAACTAGATCCCAGAAATCTCATAATAAATACTAATATTGTAAAAACGGTTTAGTTGGGATTAAAATTTACGTATTTACATGGTTGTATAAGTAAGCAGCAGTTAGTAATGTGGTTGAGTAGAAGCACTGTTAATAATAACGTGTTATGAATGAATGAATGAATATATAGTTTATTCCAAAAAAACATTGGCTACAAACTGTGATTATAAAATTAAATATATTTTCAGATATTTTTGTCACTAAAAATAAATACGAGTTTTAATAAGCCAAAATATTTAACATTAAATAAAAGAACTAGTAGACATAGGCAGTGCTACCTGTGCGTCTGCTAAGTTGCTGTCAAATAGAAAAAAAGAAAAATTACAGTGCTGGTAAGCTGCGCTTTTTTGTATATAAAGCTTGGTAGTAAGTTTAATAGATGAAAAAATGTTCCTCCCGTTACATAGATTTATAACTTTTTATGAGTTTATAATATTTTGCTATTGATTTATTATTATTAGTTCTATTTCTTTTAAAATAATAAGATTTGTTTCTACCATTATATACATTTGTAGTTTTATTCTGCATTTATAATATTTTTCTATTGTCTTAAACACTATTTAAGCTCATATTTGACAAAATATGAAGTAAACAAAAAATATACATACGATGCTCGTTTTTCCAAGGTCAACTGCTAACAAACTCACTTATTTAAACTGCAAATACATATTGACACTATATTTCAAAATCTGCCATTCTTCAGTTCCGCTAAATGAAAAGTATTTTTACAAATCGTAAAAAACATACTTACCCATGTATTTACCGATGAACCCAAAATCTACAGATTGTATTTTATCATTCTTGTAGCTTATAGGTAACTCTGATTCATAATACCATCCTCTTCCTTCGTATATTCGTCCGTCTCCTCCAACCAAGAAACTGAAAAAAGCTGGGTATAGTGGGTATATTACTGGGTATAGTGGCAAAGAAGACGACAAACTTCAAATAGTGGTCAATTCAAATTTGGATCATCGCAAAAGATTTTTAACTTTGAGATATCCCCTGCACTCAGTGGCATGGACCCCAATTTAAGATGTATTTTTATTTCGAGAACAGAAAATAATGGTTTCGCTATAGAGTATTAGGTCTCTATAATATCCGCCGAAGAGCTCCCTTCAATACAAGCTCTAAGATTAATTATTTAAATCATATAATTTATACTAGGAACTAACTCATGGATGGCCTAAGGGCTTGTAGCAGTGAAAACTGATTTTTATAAAAGTTTATAACAATAAACTATTGTTATACAGCACGGGCTTTACAGTAATATTTACATAGGCATTAACTTAGTATTTTTCCTTTTTTAAATATATACTGAAATCAGTTATTTAAAATGCCTTACCACTTTTGCTATGTTTTATTATTAGGCCTATATAAAATTATATTGTTAGCATATCATGGCCAACATGGCTTCAGATAAAACGAAAAACTTAATTTCAACACGAGAAACACTATTTGATAATGTCAAAGTGTATTACAAATGCATTTTTCTATTTCAAATAATCTTAATTTATTAAAAAGACTGAGATTTTAAGTGCATGAACTCAAATAAATTACTTAAATTGTTATGATAAACTAGCTCATTTCAAAATGTAAAGCTATATAATTTAGTCCGTTTTAGCAAGTAAGCTTTGAATGAACGAATGAACCTTTCTTTAGGTACATCACACTGTCAAAGAGTGTCGGGTATTATTTGACTTACTTGTACATGATGTCATTGTAGCCCTTGTACATATGGTTCCTCTGTATATCTCTAACTCTCTTCAGACACTCGCTCTCCGTTGTACACTCATCAGTGTTAGTGTGAGTGTACCGAACCTTAGGTACAGGGGTGTTCAGTCTAGGTAACTTCTTGGCTAGACTGGCACCCCACTCCACCCTAGAGACTAATATGTGGAAATCTCCAGGCTCCGTAGAGTCTAGAGTCATCTGAAGTGACTGTACTGCCTAGAAAAAGGTACAGTAAAAAGTAAAGATTAGATAGTGGTTCTTAGAGGTAGTTCATTGGCTATACTCACTCCCCAATTTACCCTAGGCACTAAATCTCTTGGCTCCGTGGAGTCTATAGCCATTGGGAGTGACTGCACTACCTAGATCAACGTACAAAGTATAGATAAGATTAAGGATCCTAGAGGTAGCTTCTTAGCTATACTTGTACCCCCCTCCACCCTAGACACTAATATGTGGAAATCTCCAGGCTCCGTAGAGTCTAGAGTCATCTGAAGTGACTGTACTGCCTAGAAAAAGGCACAGTAAAAAGTAATGATTAGATAGTGGTTCTTAGAGGTAGTTCATTGGCTATACTCACTCCCCAATTTACCCTAGACACTAAATCTCTTGGCTCCGTGGAGTCTATAGCCATTGGGAGTGACTGCACTACCTAGATCAACGTACAAAGTATAGATAAGATTAAGGATCCTAGAGGTAGCTTCTTAGCTATACTTGTACCCCGCTCCACCCTAGACACTAATATGTGGAAATCTCCAGGCTCTGTGGAGTCTAGAGTCATCTGAAGTGACTGTACTGCCTAGAACAACGTACAGACAAAACAAAGTGTACATGAGATAAGTGTAGTTCCTAGAGCGATTCCTTAAGACTCGCTTTCCACTCTAGCCTATACACTAAAATGTGAAATTTTCCTGTATTTGTGGAGTATACAACTATCTGAAGTGACTCTACTGCCTATAACAACTTAGGAGATAGTGGTTCTTAAATGTAGCTTATTGGTCAACCCCCGCTCCTACCGCAGCTTAGAAAACAACACGTGGGCCCCCCTTGTCTTCGTAGACTCTACAGTCAATTGGTGTGACTGTACTGTCTAGGGCAACGTACAAAAGAGGGATGTTTACATTTAGATTAGTACTTACGGTCAAAATAAGGTCAATACGTTTACAATAAAATAATTTTGAAACCGCATAAAACCCCTCCACCTACACTGATCTAATATAACATAAATTTTGTACAACGATCGTCCTAACATTGGCTACTTTTAGAAATAAAAACCTCATTTTGTTAAAATCCTTGGAGGTTTTATTTTATTATATGTTTCATAAATGTGCCAAATTAGGAAGGTCAATTGTAGCATTGACTATACACCTCTACAGTAGAGGTGTATAGTCGATGATTGTAGGGACATAAGTTAATTGGAGGATGTTAAATACAAATTGTTATATACCTCACTAATACTATGTACATATGCAAAAGCGTAATTATACTTTTAATTATTAGGTTTGACGTGCTTAAATAATATGCCTGATACTATTGTTTACGAAACTCCTAGAGCAGTTCCTAAAATATTCGTTAAAAAAAGTAATTTAATGTTGCAGTCCTATTTATTAATGACATTTCCTTTCTTAAATTTCATAAGTAAAATTTATTTAATGATTTTTTTATTTTGAAGGATTAATGAAACTGTTAAAATAAAACACTTGTTTTGTACTTACCTTTCAAATATGTTTCATAATTCACATATTAATTTTCTGTTTAGGCATTATTACATTCTATGACCATGTATACATAATATTAGTGGCTATATTCGATTAAAAATGACATATACTTCAGGTAATTTTTCTAATTCTAACTGAAGTCCAACTGAACATGAATAATCGGAAAACTTAACATGATACCTTTCGGAGTATATCAAACTTACACTATCTTCGCATTAAGATAAGGCAATTAACTCAATATAAACAACTCAAATATTCTATCATGCACGGTTGATACGATAAGGTTCTTCAATACGTCTAATATTTCAGATCACAGCTTTATCAGACTATTTTAATTAAACTTTATAAAGACCGTGACAAAAACAGTACTTTGTTATTACAAAATTTTAAAATTAAAATACCTAAATAATTTGTAATTGTTGTTACATATATTTATGTAATTTGTGCCGTATTAAAACAATATAAAAACAAAAGTGATTTAATCTTCATTTACATTTTAATAAAAAAATAAAATAAAAACTGCTTCTTGTGCCGTAGAACGTAAATTGGTCCCTAAAAGATGCCTAATATCTCAGTTAGTGGTTTAGCCTAAGAATTTTTTTATTACTACAAAAGTAGTTATCTACGATTGACGATTGAAATATGTTGACGATTGTGACATAATATTTTTATATTTAATTGTTACATTATAAATCTGATTTTTTAAATATTAATAAAGTTAGGACTTAAAAATATTTTTATTTATTTTTTATTATCCTGTATCTAGTCTTTTTTATCTTAATTCATAAAAAGAACACATTAATTTATGTAATTCAATAGAATTATAATAAACAGTAAATCTCTTCATATCAGGGTAAGTAATAATTCGCTAAATAAATTGTGTTTATGTTGTTAATTAATCTTGTTACTTTTCCACTCCTTGACTCTAGGGATTATAAGTGAAACAAAAATTAAGGCAAATATCAAACGTCGTCAATATGGTTAATTAAAAATACTATCTATTTACATTTTATATGCTTTAACAATGAGACGAAATTATTTTTCTTCGTTCCAAAAAGAATTACAACCACGTAAAACAGTTTGAGCTGTGTGAATGTCACTTTCTTAAGAAATGTTCATGTGATGTATTTCAATTTGACCCTTTTAATGTTGACATCTACAGTCAAACGCCACGCAATGGTGTCATAGCTTATCTTCTTCTTCTTCTTCTTCTTCTTCTTTGTCTCCCAAGTGGTCTACTGTTCCAGTTTGGACGTCTTCTGTTAAATACTTATGTTTTATCCCGTACAACACTATCGTTTTTGCCGTCTTAATCATATTTTCTGGTACATCCATCTCTGAAATCAAATTCGTTTAGTTAAAACAGTTAACACTGTCAAACCTACCATGATAAATTTGAGTTTTAACATGAATTTACTGAATTCTTTGTGAAAGATTCAACGCTGAGTTAAGAGTCCTTGGAGGTTAAGGCCAACGTGGATAATTTCAAACAGGCGCTGTCGAGTTATTTCCATCTTAAAATATGTTTTCGGATACCAAAGTCTTAGTAATTTAAACATTTGTTGCACTGTGAGATGAGAAATTTTCTTTTTCGTTTCTTAATTGTTTTATGTGTTAGAACGTATAGGCTCCAAGCACCCTTAAAGGTATTCATTGTCTAAGTCTTTGAATGATGACCACGTCATTGAAAGATTAGAGTAGTGTGTGACCGTGGTAGCCTATAAAGGTACACAACCTAATTTAAAGTCTATCGATCATTTAAAACTGAATATTCGAATTTATCACTCCAACTGAGTACTGAATGTAACTTTTACTAAGATGTTTCCTCAGTCTTACCCAAGTAAGGTCCTATGAAGCCTATATCGAGTGTTCGACCCTTGAGCACCCACTGTCCTTGCATTGCACAACTTTCATGGTCCCACCCTCGACCCTCATATATGTTACCGTCTGCACCTACGAGGAAACTGAAACGAAATGTTCATCTTTACAAGTAAACACTACATTTAAACAAATACTTCACTATGTAAATTATTATCACTCTCCATGTTATGTTGTCCTCCATTATACGGGACTGAGATGTGAAGATTAACGTTTAATATCTCCCAGCTAACTGCCAACTACCTAATAGTTTAATCATCTAGTTTTTACATTACAACTAGGCAACCAAGTGTTCAAATTTTTGAATGCAATAAAATTTACGTGTAGTGTCATACAAAATTGAGTCAATGTTATAAAATTAACTACAAATCCAAGGGTTCAACAAACTGTTGATTTACAATATGTCACACAGCAACACTATCTTTCAAAGACCTGTTTCACAACAAATTATCTTACTTGTGCATTATATCAGGACATCCCACCCACATATGGTCTTCCTGCAGCTCCCTTAAAATCCTGCTGCACTGGTTGACGTTGTAGCAAGGGTCAGTGTGTGTGTAAACCACCCTAACCTTCTTCAGGGGATGTTTCAGGGGAGCAAAACGTTCCACCTGCCCGGGGACTGCGCCCCACTGGTCCCGGGTGATGATCTTGGATGGATCATAAGGGGCAGGTAGAGGTTCCAGTTTTGGAAGTCCTTTATGACCGGAATGTTGGGCCCCCATTGTAAGTTACTGTGGAACATTGTATACTTTTATGCTGAGTTAATATGCATTTTAAAAGTTAAGTATTGAATTTATTGAAAACGTCATTTATTTTTGTACTTTGGTCTTATACCAACCACACTGATAAATCGACTTCCAAAAAAAATTTATTTAGTTTAAATAACAAAATCTCCCTAACCTAACTTAACCACCCTTAGGTTAGGTTATAATTATTATGTGTGGAGTTAGGTATCGTTGGTATAATACCAAAGTACCTTTATTATTTTGCAAATACATTCTAGATTGAAATATTTTAACGAGCTTGCACTATAATAGGAACATCATAACAATTCGTCTTCCAGTACTATTAGATATACAGGGTGATTGATATAAGTGTGCCAGCCGTTTTATTCGAAAACTATAAGAGATATCAAAGAAATTTAAATGGTAAGTGCCTTGGATTTTTTATTTAAAAAATTGTTGTCAAGTCAAACATTATATTTTAGCCGCCATTTTTCTAATATGGCCGCCAACATTGATTTTTCTTACGGAACACCCTGCATTTTATGATGTATTCTGGTTGAAAAAGTAATTTTAAGACGATTTTATTCTTGTCATTTTTCCATAAACCTAACCGTTTCAAAGATAATAATGGTTAAAGTTTTGAAATTTCTGCATGAGATAGAGTATAAGCAAGCATGCCAGCTTGTTTTGTTCGAAAACCATTCAAAATTTCACAACTTAAACCATTATTATCTTTGAAACGGTTAGGGTTATGAAAAAAATGACAAGAATAAAATCGTCTTAAAATTTCTCTTTCTACCAGAATACATCATAAAATACAGGGTATTCTATAAGAAAAATCAAAGTTGGCGGCCATATTGGAAAAATGGCGGCTGAAATAATTTTTTGGACTTGACTATAATTTTTTAAATAAAAAATCCAAGGCACTTACCATTTAACTTTTTTTGATATCTCTTATAGTTTTCGAATAAAACGGCTGGCACACTTATATCAATCACCCTGTATTTACACTTTATACTGTTAATATTAACATGTGATAATCACATACAAAATATATTAGAATAGTGTTTAATTTTGACATCGGTCTTCACCAGACCCAATAGGATAATGTTCAATTTAGTTTTTATTAAAGCTTTCAAATGAAATTCACAAAAAGAATAGGAAGGAGAACAATATGAATTGTGGGAGAGTTAAAGGGACTCAGCTAGAATGCTAAGAAGTTGTACCAACCAGAGAAACATTTGAAGAGAGTTTGTCCAATGTCCAGGCCTTATAACTCCTTTAGGAGCTCAAATAAGTAATTAGAATTAATCAAGAGGATTGTATAGTATGTATTATTGGAAGTACATGTTGCTTGCGTTGTTGCTTTTCATATACTAATACCTTCTTGGCACAAATCAAACCTATTATGGAAATACAGCCTTTTAAAAACAATATTACCGTAATATAAGTATGATTATTATTGTATACAGGGTGGCTGAAAAGTAACTTGCACCCCCACTTAACTTTTCAACCATTTGAGATATTTGAAATTGGTTGGCGGCAACCTTCTTAGATATGAGGGGCTACAATAATTATGGTCAATTTTGAAAATTATCCCCCTAGGGGTAGAGGGGGTAGGGGGTAGCTCAAAATTTTCAAATGACAAGTATAGTCGAGTTTGGTATCATTTTACAGGTCTTGACGAAACATAAACGGTGACATAAAGAAAACCAAAATCGGCTCACAAATAACAAAATGGCGCCCTAAAACATTTCAAATCCAAATAACCATTAGGGTGGCAAAACAATTAACTTGCTCCCTGGTTATCTTTTTAACTATTTGAGATATTTGAAATCGGTTTGCGGCAACTTGTTTGGATATAAATGGCTACAATAATAATGGACTGTTTTGAAAATTTTGCCCTTAGGGGTAGCGGGGGTAGGGGGTAGCTCAAAATTTTCAAATATCAAGTATAGTCGAGTTTGATATCATTTTGTAGGTCCTGACAAAACATAACAATTAACATAAAGAAAATAGAAATCGGACCATTATTAACAAAATGGCAGTTCAAAATTACTTTAAATAACCATTGTCTCAATCATTTTTAGCTGCCATTTTGTTATTAATGGTCCGATTTCTATTTTCTTTGTGTTATTTTTTATGTTTCGTTCAGACCTGTAAAATAATACCAAACTCGACTATACTTGCTATTTGAAACTTTTGAGCTACCCCCTACCCCCGCTACCCCTAAGGGCAAAATTTTCAAAACGGTCCATAATTATTGTAGCTCTTCATATCCAAACAAGGTGCCGCAAACCGATTTCAAATATCTCAAATAGTTAAAAAGATAACCAGGGTGCAATTTAATTTTTTTGCCACCCTCATGGTTATTTGGATTTGAAATGTTTTATGGTGCCATTTTGTTATTTGTGAGCCGATTTTGGTTTTTATTTATGTCACCGTTTATGTTTCGTCAAGACCTGTAAAATGATACCAAACTCGGTTGTACGTGTCATTTGAAAATTTTGAGCTTCCCCCTACCCCCGCTACCCCTAAAGGAATAATTTTCAAAATTGACTATAATTATTGTAGCCCCTCATATCTAAGAAGGTTGCCGCAAACCGATTTCAAATATCTCAAATGGTTGAAAAGTTTAAGGGGGTGCAAGTTACTTTTCAGCCACCCTGTATAAATCTATAGTATGAGTTTTCAAACACTCTTCATACAATATGTTTTACAGGGTTTCATGTTATTGATCCCGCTAAACAAATAGTTTAATGTAACCTAACTTAACCTAACTGATTGAAAAGTTATTGAAACAACCATGCACTATAAAAGGAGATTGACAATAGAAACTTATGGATTTAAAGGTTAATATAGATCTCAATTTTCTATCTATAAACAGTAATTGTATATAGTCAAAAGAAATACTTAATTCTTTTGCATTTAACATGGGTACTTATTATTCATTTACTGCATGTTAATTAACAAAAACATAACTACTTATTGAAACAACGAAATCCTAGTGAATCTTAAATAGCAAATAAAGCAACACTCTCAACTTACGTAAATTTTTGAAACAGATGAGACTAATTGGACTGTTTTGAAACAACTCACATAACGTTTACGGAGAAGAATGACTGTACCAAGGTATGTAATCTTGTAATAAAAGTGTCATTGTGTAATGTTAGAATTTTGCGTTGGTTGAAACGTCAACCATTCACCACCCTCGAGATTCCTTAACTCTATTTTGGTCGAGAATGGAATGCAAATGTAACTCAACATTATCTTTAGTATTATGTAAGCTTAAAATAAATGACGATAGTCTTGTCGTATTGGTATTTTAAGAGGCGTGTTGATCAGTGTTGTGTCTGTGAATTAATCATTGGTGTATTAATTTTATATTGAAATATGTTCCTTGTTATTTGTTTAGAAATATATAAATTTGTGATTGTTAAATTGTTATAAACTGAAAAACAAGTTTTATTGTTTTATGGACTTTAATACTTTTTAAATTATACTGTTTTAGTATTATGACGTAGGTATCCATGTGATTAGTTTAATCCTTTTAGGTTTTCGTAAATAAATGTTATTTTTTATTAGATTTTGATTTTTTTATCTTTTAGAATCGTGTTCACGTCAGCTATTACTTATAGCATTAAAACTGATGTGCTTAAGAGTAAAGTCAATTAATTTTGATTTGATTTGTTGTTATATGAAATATCCTTCGAAAATTTAAAAACATTTTTCTTTTGATCTTTCTTCGGCGTGTTAAATAAGAGTAACATTAATAGATCATTCTAATGACATAAAAAACACTATATATTAGGATATAGGTATATATATTCAACAATTACTCCAAAAATTGTATATTATATTTTGTATACATAATGGATGGATTAATTATAACACGATCCGTTTCATCATTAGTGTTAATAGTAATTGTTCAGCGTCGAGGTGCCTTGCGAGTTGCTTCCGCTTACCGCACGGTTTCCGAGCCTGCAGTCATGGTGATTGCCAGTGTCATCCCCGTCTTTCATCTCGCGAGGGAGCGACAGGCGATCTACCGCAGGAGACCTAAAGTAGATAGAGAGACTGCTGCCAGAGAAGAACGCAACCGCAGTTTCGACCGCTGGCAGCGTGAATGGGAAGCCGAGTCTCGGGGACGTTGGACCGCCAGGCTCATTCCTAGCATCCGACCATGGGTGGAACGGGAGCATGGTGAGGTTGGGTACTACTTGACTCAATTTTTTTCGGGTCACGGGTACTTTCGGGCCTTTTTGCACAGAATGGGGAAGGCTGCCAGCTCAGACTGTATGTACTGTCCAGGCGGGCGCAGGCCGAAAGCCACGAATGTTTATCTCTATAAGCTGGGGGGACGTAAGCCACGGCAATTAGGGAGGGTTTGAGTAGTTATAATCCTGGGGACGAAAGCCACGACGGCGGGCCAGGTAGTTGGGAGAGGTGAGGGAGAAACGGGAATCTCTCACATGAACATAGCAATTATAATAATGCAGTGATGGATGCAAATATTTTGCTAAAGCTGTTTGATGATGTCTCAATGAATTTTCAAATACAGTTGTAAGAGCTTAAAATATTGAAGGAGCAGACAAATCAAACCCTAATAACATATTCTATATAATATTCCATATATATTCTAAAAACTTATTGTAAATAAGTTGCTATTTAGAAAGTGAGTAAATCATTTCTTCTATTAAGATTGTGTTTACAATACATTATATCATCGATATGTCCAGCTACTGTCAACAATGCAACATTAGGCTAAACCTTTGCCTGATTAATTGACAACTGTGTTTGCAAAAACTTATTTTTACTCCCTATGGAATAAAAATGTCACTTTGGACCCGCAACGCATGAGTTATAAATATAAATGTTTTGCTTTATTATGACGAAAACCCCTTATTGTATTGAGTATTATGGAAGATAATATGATTATTTAACGATAAAATTTAAACTTAAAACTTAAGTTATACAAGGTTTTACGTCGGCACGGAAGTCCAATACATGTTTAGTTTTGCATGTTGTAATGTTGAATGCAATAAGTGATGTGGTATATCTTCTATCACTATTTTTTGTTAAACAATAACTGTGAATATTATTGATATTTAATTTTAAAAATCAAAACAATTACATTTATTCATAAGTATTAGGTAACTAAAAAACTTCGTCAATATTTTTGCGTGGTTGGTTGTCACATCCTACACAACAATTGTGTTGCTATATTGCTTAACTATGTATATCTATAGCATAGTATTATACAAATGTGCACCACACTAATAATTTCTAAATATAAAAGCAGATTTGTTAAAATTCTGATCAGAAATAAAGTTAAGTTTTGGAAAATTACATTGTTAGTGAAAAAGGCAAATTCAGTAGCAGCCGTTCTTATGCATCTGCATACACGATGTGGTGAATGTGGTTAACATAGTTTCGGTTGAACTATAAATGTATGCATTACTTTTACGTTAAAGAACCAGTACTATATACCAGTGCGTGTAATATTTTTACGGGGGTAGGTAACATAATAGCGTAGGGTTGTTGACACCCGATTTCCGGCATGGAGGGAAGTATCTTGGAATTAGTCATTAGAATGCTGCGTCACCCTTACATTTCGGCATACTTAGGATTTCGCATCAGTTTTGCCTAAACATTCAAAGCGTGAAGGCCATGGAAGATTGTGCGGAGTTGGTTTTTAGTAATAAGGGCAAAGAGTCATTGATGTTTAATAACTTTAAATTCAATTTGCAATCGGTGTTAGCGTGTGGAAGAAAGAAGTGGTTTTGCGAGAGAAAAAGGCGTGGCGGCTGTAAAGCGAAATTCTTCATGAGTAAAATCTTATAATTATTTATCTTTATCTATTAACCTAATTGATCAAGATAAGTGTGAAACGTAAGTTAGCAAATTAATTTATAGCCATTGAAGACTTCATTTAAATTATTATTTTGGTTTCAACTGTATCAGTATGTTTTAGAACTGACATTTGTCATATGAGCAAAAAACCGTAATCCTTAATAAGAGACAATATCATCTAAAAAGTAAAATGTTGTTTGTTATGTGATAAATAATACATAATTTATCCTAGTAAGATAGTAAAAATCGGCTAGTCAACGGCTCGGACAAATTCATACTGTTTAACATTTATTTTCATCATACTGTCCAGAAAATTGCCATTTTTAGTACTCTAAATCGTCCGCAAAACCGTCGTTTTCGGATAACTTCAAAAATAGGGAACAGAAAAAAAAACTATAATAAGCTTTCCAGTTTGCTAACCTCGAAATGTGTATGGTGTAGACCCTATAATAAATTGTATTAGTACATTATGAAAAGGCTACTAATCACACGATATTTTAAGTTTATTAAATTATAAATCCTGAAATAAATAAATTCTGATATATATTTGATATTATAATAGAAACCTTCAAACAGTTTTAATGTATTTTTGTTATTTTTACTTTTTCACCACAATTATGTGATAAAATCACACTTTTATAATTATTTGCAAATCTAAATGAATTAGGCTTTCCAATGACCCATTAATTAACAAAACTCGGTTGAGTAGAAAGTAGTATAGGTTTCGTTGTACAAAGTTTAAAAAAAATATCTTTAACTGAGTATTTTGTCACCACTATAAATTCGCAGGTTGCTTAAGCTTTTTTGAAGAAAGCTTTTAAATGGTGTGCAAATCGATCAAAGTGTAAGGTAATATTCTGAAAGAGAACAGTATTTAATGCGTGGTTTAAGTGTCCTGTTGGTAAACTACTTTTATTTGAAATAACTGTTTTATTATATGATGAGCTACAGATGCCTGACATAATTTCAGTAGTTAGGCTAAAGCATATCAATTTTATGTGAAATCAATATAAACTGTTTTTTGCTAGACATACATAAACTGTCCTAAAATGGTAAAACTACTGTTTTAACATATTTAATACACGTGTAAAACTTAAAACTTGTGTTAAACAAACTTTTAGCTTTGGTACTCGTTATGCGTTCTCTTGTTTCTTAACAAGCATTTTAAATCTGTTTACTATACTAGCAAAGGTCTGAGTAGAGTAGCTATATTGAATTTTTGATTGGGATAAAAAACTAGAATTAGAATAAGAGTTTCTATAAGCTGCGCTTTTGTTGCTATGTTGGTTTTGCGCATTTAGAGTTTCGCAAGGATAGAGTTATTTGTAATCTGCTAAGTATCAGTTAAGTATTCAGTTAAGTATGTCACACAGTTATTGTTTTTATTCCATTATTAATTCAAATTAAAATTGTAAAAAATGATTACATGGTTCTTTATGTCACCAAAGTATTATTGCGTGTAGTTATTAACATTTCCCAACACGTAACATTTAAAAATTTGCATTTCTTCTTTTTTTGCTATTATTTTCGTTTTAACTTTTGAGTTTGACTTTTTGGTAGGAAAATCACTTTTGGGCCACCACGAAACCAAACTGTACAGATAATGTGATTGTGTAGATTTGTACAAATATAAAACTTCCATGGCCAATTTTGATATAGTTTAGACACACAGAAAATATCTTTTTAACTTCTTTTTAATAATATTGAAGAACAGTTCTTATTCATTTATAGACATGGTGGGTTTGATAATAAACTTATCTGAGTTAATATAAACCCACACATTAATTCATATGCATATAATTAGGTAGCATTAAAATCTCCGTCGATAATTGTTCCGAGGTGATTCTCACGTCCTACAGAAAATAATGCTGTAGCTATATATATAGCCTACTAGGTATCACTTATGGCCTATTTGTATTGAAATCTCCACATTGACTATTTCTAAATTGATATAAAAGCAGATATTTTTTTATCAGTTATCAAGTTAAGCATCGGAAATTTATTACCAACCGTTCTAATATATCAGCTTAGACGATTTGGCAATTGAGGTTAATATTGTTTGGGTTAAAGTCTTATACATTACTGTACTTTTTTTGAAGACCCAGCACCATCCGGGCGTGTAATATTATTACAGAACATAATAGGGCTCACAGCTGATTTCTGGCTTGGGGTGAGGTAGTTAGGAATTAGTCATTAGGATTCTGCGTACCCTAACATTCGGGATGTCGCGGTAAATATGAATTTAAGATATTATTTTAATGCATGGCACCTGCCTTCTCCAATTATTTTAAGATTATTTAGACTGGGTGCTCAAGAAAAAAGATTAGAAGTTGTTGATAAGTGCAATCCCGTTCATTCCTACTTATAGCCTACTA